GCAAGTGTAGCAGCTCAGCTGGAACAGACAGGGACAGGATTAAAGAGACAAAAGGGGACAGCACATCTCCATTTCAAGACGCTCTGCTGAAAGGAGGGAAGAAAGATGAGGCTGCTGGCGGGGGCAGACTCAGGAGTTTGCTCCCTTGCTGTAAGGTGGAGAACACAGTGCCTATTTGCATTGTGGTGGGAATGGACAAGTGGAAAAAAGAAAAAAGGTCAACGCACCTGAGAGAGAGACCTCAGGTAACAAGCAAAGGGCTAGGCGGGGTGGCCCAGTGGGTAGAGGAGCTTGCTGCCAAACCTGAAGAACTGAGTTCAATCTCTAGAGAATCAAATCCCACAAGTTGTCCTCTGACCTCCATATGTGTACCATGGCACTTATGTGTGTAAGTTAATAAAAATAAATAATAAGGCAAGAGAATCACCAGACAGGCTAGGAGTAGAAATGAAAGGCCTGGCTTTCTATAGGCAGCCCCCAAATACCTGTCAGCTCACTGATATCTGTATTTATGAAGCTTGTATGCTCTGAGCACCCCGTTTTGTTCTCACAGCATTGTCTATGCAATCTCTGTGGTGACTGGCCCACAAAGCCTTAGCCTGGAGGACTCAATAGTTTAGCGGAGTAGGTGGGTAACAACACCGGCTGGAAGCGAGCCTGACCTGGTTTGAACTCTGATTCTGTCACTGAGCAGTTCTGGTACCTTGTGTACACCATTAAATCTCTCCACACTTGCACTCCTAACTAGCCATAGGGAAAATAATACTGACTTCTACTTTCAAATGGTCGTTGGAGGCTGTGTATGAAATGGCATAGAAGCCACAGTGTCTGAGACATGGGAAACGATGTGACCTAGAATAAATGATAATGACAGTAATGACTGTGTAGCTCTCTCTTTTGTCAGTGTAAGTGTAGAATTGTTTCCTTGTGACAAAATTGTTTTCAGGCTGATAACTGAAATGGCCACTTTCTTTTTGTGGTGCTTTTACATTGTTAGGGGGAAGAACTCATCAGCCATTAGAGTTGCCATTGATACCTGAGGATCACGGATGTAGTTCCGGAAGGAAGTGACCACTTGCACAGTATAGATGAGTTCCTGGGTTCTGTCCCAGCACTGCAAAAAGGAAGGGAGGAATAAAGAAGGAAGGAAGGGAGGGAAAGGGGGAGGAAGGAAGAGAACCAGACATGAGGTACCGAAAGGAGAAATCATAGAGTCTCACACACAAACTCAAGATTTCATAATTTTTCCACCAGAAATACCCGAATCAAAACAAGAGTTAATTTGTTTCTGTCCTTGCACCTCTTACTTTGGGTAGAGAGAGGAACCAGGCAAAGAATAAGAAGGCAATAGGATGGAGATCCAGCCAAAGTTGCAGGTCGCTGTTTTCCAAGTGAATGCACAAGGAGTCACACTGCTGGCAGAACCCAAACTCGGATCAAAGAGAAAGCCGCTCCCATGGCTGCTTAAGCCACATAGTGAGGGAGCCTGCAGGCCAGGCTGGCCTCTGACTGGCTTCTGGTATTCTAAACCTCTGTCCATTTGACCCGACCCCATCGAGCATTCTGCAAGGCCTGGGGATATAGCTCAGTTTATGGGGTGCTTGCCCAGCACACGCAAAGCCCTGGGTTTGATCCCTGGCACCGCACAATCAGGTGTGGTGGCACACACTTGCAATCTCAACAGTTAGGAGGTGGAGATAAGAGGGCGAGGAGTTTTAAGTCTTGCTCAGCTGTAGTACATACATACATTGAGGCTAGCCTGGGCTATATGAGATCTTGTCTCGGGGCCTTTAGAAGGTGGAGCCTTTGGGAGGTGGAGCCTTTGGGAGGTGGAGCCTTTAGGAGGTGGGGCCTTTGGGAGGTGGAGCCTTTGGGAGGTGGAGTCTTTGGGAGGTGGAGCCCTTAGGAGGTGGAGCCTTTGGAAGGTGGACCCTTAGGAGGTGGAGCCTTTAGGAGGTGGAGCCTTTAGGAGGTGGAGCCCTTGGGAGGTGGAGCCTTTGGGAGGGGGAG